TGAATCGGTCGATGACCTCGCCGCACAAAAGAAAATCCTTTATGGAATTGTGAAAGGTGGCTCAACTGAAGAATTTTTCAGGGTACTGCTTTAATTTTGTTTTCTTCACACGGTTAGAGTAAATGCAGGCAGTGGGTAAGGACAAATTCTCGCGAACTGGTCCTTTCTGTAAGTATAAACCGAAAGGGAATCAAAGTACTCGCCTTTACTCGAAATAGTTTATGTCGATAGCTTCATAATATGTAAATGTTGGCTTTTTACGAGACTTCCAGAACAGAAGGTCTTAAACAGCCACGTACACCTTATAGCTGTTACCAGTCAAAAGTCGAAACCCCTTCGTATTAGTTATGTGCGTTATGTGCGAAACATATGAAACCGGACCAGCTAGTAGCATCTGTCAACAGTAATCATCCGGTAACAAAGCTGTTGGTGGTTTGCATTTTCGAGGGTTATTTACAAGTAAGTTGATGGTGAGTTTCATTCCCCAGTAATCATTAGTACCAATTTACGATTGAAACAAACTGAATCACTTTTACACCAAGATGAAACACTTCCGACCATAAACTTGAAAAGCACGTGTTTTGCTGCAGTACTACAAAAAATTTGAGTTGATAATTTTTATGAACCAGTGACTCAATTCCAGGAATCAGCAGTGCCGGTATACAAGAAAATGTGGGGTTTCATGTACGATACATACATGCAGCAGCGTCGTGGACAACTACACAGTAATACCTCGGATACGGTAATGGTGAACACATATGCTGAGGGAATCGACAAAGTACGCCGGAGCAAGGTGCTTTCTTTTCAGCTTCTAATCGATTTGCCTTAAATCATACCCGGATTTATTACGTTATCATGTCGCTATTTTTCTCAGACTTACATTCAAACCCAAATAGCAAAGCTGCTATCGGCACGATCAAGTGTTTTTGCTCAAATCTTGAAGCAATCAGATCGCTAACAGTATGATTGGTCGCTGCTTTACAGTCCAATGTGCGCACTTATGTTGCCTCTGTTTTTAGTCTTTTCCTACCATGTGGGAAGAAAGAGTCCTTTGCTGGCACAACAGTGTTGCATAGTAGGGCTGCGTGAAATCTTAACCTCTCGCACATATGATTACATAAGGAGGGATTGTCGATGATTTTTGTACTCTCAAATTCGGCGTGTCCTTGCGCCAGACTTGAGCATTTATTGGTGCAGATACGCAACATTCTCGTAAAATTGTTGATTCCTTGGCTATCTGATTGTCGAGAAGATAAAGAAAGCGTTGCAGGCGGAACGTTTGGTAACGAATGTATGTAGGGCACATCAGAAAGCAGAAACTGATTTTACAGTTAAAGCTCGTACATGGAGATCAAACACCTTTATAAAATTGCGACCTTATTTTTGGTCTAGTTGCAGTGTTAAATTGGTGCTAAATGTTCAGAATTGTGATTTTGCTTATGCATAACACGCGGGCAGAGGAGGCGAGAGGAGGGGCTAACTTGGGATCTCCACGCTGACTGTCCGAGCGGTCTTGGTGTTAGACAATTTTATTGTATTCCAATACTGTAAAATTACGGTCCAGTTATAAACAGGGTCGTTATGCGTTTCTTCTGGAAGAGACGGCAAACGAATACGAGAATACAAGAAAGCCGTGTGATACGATGAAAGTTGGTGCTAATCTAAATTCACTCGGATATGGTGTGGCAACCAAAATCGGCAATCCCTTGAGGTTACCTTTTAGAAGATTTACATCCTTCGGAAGTGTTGGATGAGACAGCTGTGGGGAATTTTTTTCTGATTTTTAAAACAGTTACACGCATATGTTTCTGAAAAAGAAATCTTTAAATGTGATTTTCTATCAGATTCCTGTTAAAATTTTTCCCTTAATATCTGCTATTTATTTTGATCAGTTGCATCGATGGCCGGTGGTCAGCCTGCTGGTGACCCAATGCAGATGACCTACAACATAATTTTGTCAAAGTTAATTCGCTGGCCAACTGCCAGAAAATATTGTTCAAATTGTTCTTTCATTAAAAACCAAAAAATCACACGTATAGTGGACTCTATCAAAGCAAACTCGAAGCTTGCCGCTTTTTCAAGCTACAAAACAAGTTTTCGAGTTGGTGCAAGTTCTTGCAAGTTTGAATTTCTCAGGAATGAAACAGAAACTATTGACCTCAAATATGTCCATCGGCGCATACGAAACTGAAATCGTTTCTTTATCCACAAAACTAATATTTTAAAATGTGGTACGAAAAATGACGTTTTGCACAGAAATTGTGTTTTTAGAGAGAGCATAAATTTTGCAATATTGTATTTGCATGAAAAAGGCGAGCTGAAGCGTCTGGAGAACAAATGGTGGTATGATCGTGGACAATGCGACCAAGGAATGATGTCGGTCAGCCATCTCTCCATATTATTGCTTCCATTTGCATTGCTTACTGACTGAATTATGCAGAACATCACTGTAATCGTAATTCAGCCTTCCACGCGTCCATATTTTCTTGATTCAAAAAATCATTATGAATTACTTGTAGGAAAGAGACAAAGTGGCTTTTCTTGAGGAAAAGACATAAAGATTTAATCTCCCTGAGCCGGACAGTATTCTTGGATCGCAGTGCGTCACAGGTAGACTCTTAACGGAAAAACGACGTGTTTGCACAGTGCTTCACATACTGCAAGCAAACACCAATTGCTTCTTTCTTCTACTTATACCTCGAAATTTAGAGAAATGCCAGAAAGAGCAAAACCACCAGAACACTTAGTATCAGGACCAGTGTCAGTGATGCTACTGGAATGCTTCCAAGTGCTGCATAGCCAATTCGGCGAGTTATTTTCACAAAAACCATGCATATGATGGCCGCGCACCTATTTTTAAGTAAAGCCATTGGTATCTCAACGTTTGTGTTGTGGAAGATTTGAAAATTTTACTAAGAATATCTCCTGTCTGCAAGTAAGAGGCGTCATGAATTCATAAATTGGAGGTGTACAGATCGAGATCGAAAGGTTGAGAAAGGTTCTAGCAATCACTTCTTTAAAAGAGAAAGTAGGGAGTTTGCGTGCCAATAAGCTTCACTGCATGAAGGAGCCTCGACCAGGTGTTTCAATGAAAGCTCAACACAGCAGCATCGATGGTACTGAGCCTAGCTACGATATAAGAGCAATCGATCAGAGTATCAAGACTAAACTGACTACAGCACCCAACAGCACAGTCAGTAAATCTAATTCCATTTCAAATTGAAGTATCTGTACAGGAAGAGCAACAAAAACAACAATGATAATAATGATAACAGTAATGTTAACATTAATAATAAGTAACGATAACATTAATAGACAGTCATATCAAAAATAAAAAAAATAGCAATAATAACAACGATGGTAACAATAATAGTAATTATTATTGTTGCGGTGGAAGTTACTAAGAGGATTTCAGATTCAATTTGAATAAAATTGCAGGATGGAGGTAATAGTGCCAGTCTAACACTGAGCAAAGTAGCTGGTATATTTTACATATTGTGCTGTGGAATGGTACTCTCAATGGCATCAGCGTTTATCGAATATGTATATCGTTCAAGGTTGGAACGACATGAGGAATTAAAAAAGGTTAACATATGTTTAGTCTTATTCACCGCAGTAAAAAACCAGGTTGAAACGCACCAGGCTTGTCGGTGCGATCATGCGTTTTTGCACCAGACTTGAAGTACTCAGGTCATTAACTACGTGAATGGTTGTTCCTTTACAGCTACCTTTTGCACTCACTAGCGTAAATTATAAATTTTGCAGAAAGTAAGTAAACAATTTCCATTTAACGGTATTTCTTTGAAAGTAGTCTAGCTGATCAGTGAGCAGTCTTCCTGCCAAATCTTTCTTGTGCTCGTACATGAGAACCACGTACACCTGAGAGCTAAATATGGAATATTTAGGTTGTACTTGGGCAGGAAACATTCCCTCAAAATTTCAGCTTTCTGGCTTGGTACCCGAGTAGTGATTTTCCCGCCAAAACTTCCCACGGCCTTACGTGAGTACCACGCATATCTGGGCGCTGAATTTG